GGCTGTAAACGCCAGCTATAATTACATAATAGAAACAAAGATGTGGTTGCCGTGAGTATTTCTTTCCTGTTTGGCTAATATGCTTATGCAAGGCATACACATATTCAAGCAGATATCTTTGCTTTCTTGCATGGTATTATAACACCACATACCATAACATCGATGGAGTTAATACTGGTACTTTAATATTGTTAAGTCTACATTATAATACTAGGTATAATACTATAGTTTATTATAGTATAACACTATAATAACGTAGGTATAGAGTGAAGATCACCCAAAGGAAAACTTCACCTCCTATTCTGGGGAGGGAACTGGTGTGATTCTAGTTGTCTGCAGGACAGTTACACATGTTATGGAATTAGGAACTCGCTATGGTCTTTGCTTGGCGATTGCATAGAGTTTAAGGAGACATACATCAGCTTGGTGTCAGGTTAGCCAGGGCTGGAAAGTGAGGGCTAGGGCTCCTTGCATCAAGTTTATTGGCTTGGAGCCAGGCGGGAATGGGCGGAACAGCCTCTGGGGGTGTCTGGGTGTGCCCTGGAGCCGTGACCTGGGTCTGTATCTGGTCCCTCATCCCCTTTTCAGCTCTGTGTTGCCCTTTCTCTGTTGCTATTGCTTTGATTCCTTCCATGCGTTTGTATTTTCCTTACATCTTTGACCATATTTGCTAAGCTATCATTTCCGCCCTTCCTGTGACTTCGGGCTCTATTTCTGTTGGTTCAGGGTGCCATTGTCTTTCTCAAGCATTTTACTTATGCCTTGGGCATTGTGGATGTTATTTGGGAGTGTAAAGATTTTACTGTCCTTCCCTGGCATGCTGGATTTTTGTGGAAGCAGATAGCTAGTTCTGAGTCTCCTCAATATTTCCAAGGATTTTCTCTAAGGTTCACTAAGCTCAGTGTGGTGCAGCCAGCATGCTAGAACCCATTGAGCCCTCTTGGTGTCTCCCTGAGTGTGCCCCGAGGGTCCCTTCAGCCTCCCATCCTGGCTCTCCCGAACTGCACCTCTACGTCCTCCTCCTTTTCCTGGTCATTTGGCTTTGCCCAAGCTTGCAGACCTCACTCTGCGTGTGCACAGATTGGTGTTTGCACCAAGACCCCCTTGTGTATGTGGGCACCTTTGGTTTTCTGCCTGCATCTCCCTCCTCTTTGGCCTTCTGCTATGCCAATCCTGGCCCCTCCAGGAGCCCCGAGCTCCAGTTGGTCTCCCTGACTCTGTCTACCCACTTTCTCCATATCTGCAGTCCCCACACCAGCTGCAAAGCGGCTCCAGGCAAGTGGCCACGGGGCTCGGTGCATCTGCCCTGTGGGATCATAGTCATGCTTTTGCCCAACATCTGAAAACAGTAATTAATATATTTTGCCTAGTTTTATGGCTATTTCTTATGAAAGTGCTTATTATTCTATTACGGCCCACGAGTTTTTAGTTTTTTAATCACAAATGTGTCTTAAATTTTATCGAATGCATTATTTTCACCTATTAAGATTAGCTTACGGCTTCTATTTGTTATGGTGGTGAATTACTTTAATAACTTCTAATGGTAAAACATCTTCAATATCCCTGGGATAAACCCAACTTGGTAATGAAGGTTTTTTAAAATATTTGCTTGATTTGTTTTCTTTACGTATCTGCACCTATTTTCAAGAATGAGACTTGTTCATATTTGCTTGTCCTCCTGGTGTCCTAGGTTTTCAGTCCATGTACTGTAGTGTGGACATCCAGAAGTCCCTCTGAGGCCCCACCCAACCAGAAGCGGGCTCAGGAGGATGCCACGTCCTGGGCTCCTGGCTGATGGGGAAGTCGTGGGGATTGTGGTGGGGAAGGCCCCTCCCTTCCCAGCTCTTGCCTGGACTCTGTTCCCTGCTTGCTGTCTGCTGTGTCCTGAGCCCCTCTCTCCTCTGGGCTGCCAGCCGTCCATCTGTGACCAAAATGGAGCTGAAATAAACCTCTCCTCCTTTAGTTGTGGGTGTCAGAAATTTTGTCCCAGGGATGGAGAAAGTCAATTAGCCACAAAGTCATGCTGATCTTTTAAGATACATGGAACAGTTTTGACTCTACTGCTAGTTTGTCGCCGTGTCATTCTTGAGACCAGGCATCCAGTGTGCGCCTCTCAGGCTGTGATTGCAGCAGCCCAGGGCCACGAGCAGGCCAGAGGCTCCAGGAGGACCTGCCGGTGCCCACTGGCTTTGCCTTTTCTTTCTCAGCAGGCTGCCTCACTCCTGGGCTCCTGACCCCTCCAGCCAGTGCCTCAGCCGCACTCTCCTGTCCCCTCACCGACGGGACAAGGGGTCCCAGCACTCGCACTCGACAGCCAGGATAACTGTCCGATCATTTCCCCTCAGCATCTCCAGCCACAGCTAGTGGGTATTCACAGGCCCCAGTGATGAGGACGTGGATCTCTCTGGGGAGCTGTTATTCTGCTATCACAGGAGGGGATGCACTCCCCAATTTTCTTCTCTTCGGGGAATTTTGTTTAATACAACTAGAAATTTCTGTTCCTTAAATATCTGACAAAAATTACCTATAAAATCAAAGGTGATATTTTAGTGGGCAGACTTAGAATACTGTCACTGTGTGTGTGCACGTGTGTTTGAACATAACCAGAATGTGGTGCCGGAGCCCAAGTGTCCCGTTAGACTGCCTTGCCTGTCATACTGCACAGTTCCCGAGTTCACAAATGGGGACATCCTGTGTGCAGAGTGACAGTGGCAGCTGTACCCACGCTCTCCCCCACTGTCACTGAGCCACCTGCCAGCCCAGCCCCCATAGTCAGGCCACCCTTCCTGAGTGTCCCCAGCACAGCCCCTCTGTGCCTCCGGCCACCAGCTCTGCCAGTGTCCCCACCTCCCTCTAGACAGCCCTACCCAATGTCCTCCAAGATTTGTGACCTCCAGCACCAGTGTCTCTGGGCCAGGCCTGGAGTCTCTGACGTTCCCAGGTAGAGCTGGAGCAACTTCCCCAGCACCCACCTCACTAACGGGGGGCTGAGCTCACCCTCACTGTCAAGTATAGAGCAGGAGAAGTCTCATCGGGGGACCCAGGCCCCCAGCTTCCAATTTCCACTCCACGGTGCATCCCTGGCCTCGGCCGCCTCTGTGCCTTGGGCTTAGGGTCACGGAGAAGAGACTGAGAGGCTCCGGAGCAGCGCCCTCCTCTGCAGGGCCCTGTGCTGCTCCTTCCACTCTTAGAGAGGAGAAACAGAGGTGCCTGTCACTCACAGCCTCAACCTGGGCTTTCCAGGGTCACAGAAACCCCCGGCCACAGAGCCCCTTAGCCCTGGGGTGACTGTACAAAGCCTCAGTTTCCCTCAACGCCAGGCCCAAAGGCCTGAGGTCTTACCTTTGGCGATGGCCACTGTTGCACACCTTGTCACCCTCCCGAGCCCGCTCGGCTGGTGTCTCCTCTCCATCCACACAGGGAGAGTGGGGCCGGACGGGCCTGAATCAGAGGCGAAGACAGCTGGAGAGTGAAAGCCACCTGACACCGAGCCCTTCTCCAAACTGCTCTTCCTGCCAGAGTGTGCTGGACACGGTGGTCACTGCACCTCTTCATCTCAATGGCCCCACCTGACAGCTCTGGGGTGGGCCGGGGTCCCTGCCAAGTGCTTCCAAGAATACACTTAGATGCCCCAAGGACTGACTCCAGATAAATAAAAAATAACACCCAAAGAGCCCTGCAGTCCCACTAAACCTAACGCAAGGCTGTGTTTGGGGTAAAATAGAGCAAATCAAGGCTGTGCCCTGTTCAGGTGTATTCCCAGCCCTGTCCTTCCCCTCACCCCACTGCCAACAGCACCATCCTGGGGCCTCCTCGGCCCCGTGCTCCCCAAAAGCCTGTCTACTGCCTGTGGGTTCCTTCCAAAGCACCCCGGCTCTTCCTTCAGGCTTTACTGCTGGCTGCCACGCCTGTCTAGACGCACGGAGCACAGCCTCTGTCCTGTCCTGCCCCCCTTCCAGGGACAGCAGCGGGCATGAGCCAGAGTGGGGAGCAGTGCCCAGGACCAGGAGGCCTAGTGACCTCCAGAGACGTGAGGAGCAGTGAAGGACAGAGGTCCATGCTGCCACCCCACGGAAGTCCCATCTGACCACAGGACTGCAGGATGCCACCTGGGGTAGAGAGTCCAGGGCCGTCCAGCCGCGCCACCAGTCTGGGAGAGGGCAGGCCTGGTCATCGGTGGCCAGGGGAAGTGTGGCAGTTTCCTCTCATCTGCCTGGGCTGTGTGGATCCTGTGTCATGTGTCCCTGCCCAAGTGGCCCCCAGTTGATCTGAACCCACCCCTCTCTGTGCTCCATGGGGGACAGTCCTGGTTGCCTATGAGCCACCCAGCACTCCTGGACCAAATAACAAAGGGCCTCCTGGAGACGCCTGAGCAGTACTGCTAACAGTTCATGCCAGAGCCACGGACAGAACCACAAGTAGGCCTTCCTGGCTCACCCGCCCCACGCCACCAGTGTCAGAGCACCAGCTCCTGTGTCCAAGCCCAGTGACAGAGCCAGGTACCCTTCTCGGGTCCTTAACACCATGAAGCAGTAAGCAAGTCCTGGGGGTCAGATTCCCCACATCTGTGATGCCGTCATCGATCCCTTTCAAAAGGGCATGAAGTTCACTGGATTTTCAACGCCACACAAACACTGGACGGAACAGAACAACTTGGATCAGCTTCTTACCCATGCTTTCCCATCAGGCCCTGCTTTACCAGGACAGGTGCCTCTGGCTATGGCAACCTGGACGCCTGTAAGCCCCAGGGAAGGCCCCACACCACCCGGCCACCCCCAAAGACAGGAGATGAGGCTGAGGCTGCTGCAGCCGTCAGTGGTTCAGAGGCGGGGTACCCATGACAGGGAGGCCAGCTTGCACAAAGGGCTCTTCTAAGCCTCCTTCCTGGCTTGGCCTCTCCTAGTGTCTCCGAACAAGTCTAAGACTACGCCCAAATGACCATGTAAATGGCAAATTGTCGGGGTCGCTCCCGGCCGGCAGGAAAGACACACGACAAAGTCTGGCGGTGTGCAACCTTGCCTTTATTTGTCTCCGCGTGGGCCCCGCGAGGCCTCCTCTCTGCCACCAGTCCTTTCTCGCCGGTGGACTTTCTCTATCTCTCTCGTGCTTCCTCTGTGCTTCTCCCTCGTGGCGGGAGAGGCATTTACTTTTATAGGGTAACAGTGGCCAATCAGTTCAAAGCGCGCGATGCGGGCTGATTGGCTAACATCAGTTGTTGCTAGGCAGACTATTCTATTGCGCGGGCTGCTTACGTCGCCAGGGCAATCAGGGGGCAGGAAGCAGGCGCCAACTTGGCTCACTCGATGGGAGGGGCAATCTAGCTCAGGCTCCGCTCCCACCCACAGGCCCTACGTCCGCCAAGTAAGGCGACCGGTGTCGGCCGCGGCTCCCAACAGCAAATGATTACAAGAGATAAATACTAGCACAAAGCAGATAAATACTAGCACTTTTTGATTGTCTTGGGTTTTTTGCTCTGTAACAAAAGCTTCTGTTGTAGTATATTCCCTCTGTTCCCTTCTAAGGGAAAAAAGTCTTAATGAATCTTCTGTCTTGAACCCGTAGATTGTATTTTCACCATGCTGATACACAATATTGCTGAAAGAAGATAATTACGTGATGAAATTAAGACATTCTGCAATTATATCTTGTAATATCATTAATTTCCAGATGCTCACAAATTATATCTACCTCAAGAAGAGTAATTTCCTTTGTTTCTCTCACAAAAGCAGGTAATAACAATCTTTCTCCTGCAATTATTTTAGACAAATTTTCCAATTTGTTACTTTAGACTTCTCAGAGTAGTAACGACACACTCTTTCCAATTTCAGCTCTTACCTTCCTCACTATATTGCTAACGATCTTTCAGGTTGAGAATGATGGTGCCTTTTCTGAAAAGCAGTGGCGCCCACTGTCACATCCTCCGGTCTCCTCACCACCTTCAGAGAGATCATTAATGGTAATAAGTGAATGGGCTCATTGGGAAAAATCCACAGACAACTTGTCTCCATCTCTGCTGACACAAAAACTGTCTCATACCAGACATAAATGGAGAAAATTAATGGCACAGAACAAAAAGCTTAAAGACGCACTCTTGTGAGCAGCTCTAGTCTTTATTAGAATGTTGTATTAATAACAAATCAACAAATGCCACTGAGCACTACAAATACCACGGAAAGCTCGACTCCACGGAGCACAAATGTCACCCGCCTTCCCTGAGCCCGCGGCCCAGCCGGGACCCAAGAGCGAAGGGACCCAGCAGAAGAATAGCGAGGCGGGAACCAGGATGGCGTTAGGGCTCAGGACAACGGCCGGGTGAGTCCTAGGGAGAAAGTTCTCTGAGCTTTGGAAAAGCAGACCTGAGAGCTGGGAATCCGAGCACAGTTCGGGGTGGGAAGACTGGAGGGCACAGAAGAGAAAGTCCTGCTGCCCACGCAGAGCTGGAAAGGGGTGCCCCGCACCCGCAGGCCTCGCGGCTCCCTCGCCTGCGCGCCTCACCCCGTGTTTCCGCGGCTTCTCTCCACCGCCGCCTCTCACCCTCAGTCTCCGGCACATCTGCGTCCTCGCCTTGGACACTGCGTCCCACCGCGCCTCCTGCTGCCCGCGCAGGCCAGTGAAACCACCCCAGCAGTTCCCCCGTGGCTCCTTAGTTAGAACTCACGTGTCCCGCACTCAGAGTCCAGCTTTCTTCCCTCCACCATACTTGCTAAAATCCTGCCCAGTGGTTATTCGCTGGGCTGGGGCTGGCTATCTACCTCCAGCTGACCAAAGCCAGTTTTTTCTTCTAGAAATCATCCGATAAGCAAGGGTTTCTTTTTTACTTCTCAGCTTAAAAATATATTTACAGTGAAAGAACACTACCAGGACAGTAAAAGGCAACCCAAAGAACGGAGGAAAACACTTGCAAACCACACGGCCTGGAAGGAGCTGAGCGTGAGTACCTAGCATGAGTTCCAGTTCAGAAGGCTTTACAGACGGGCAGAGGAGGGGGACAGACACCTCTGGAGGAAGACCCGGAGATGTCCAACAACACACACAAAGGGCGCAGTGTCATCATCATTTGGGAAACGCAAATCCAAACCATTTGCTCGCTTGGCATGGCCACAGTAGGAAATAAGGGCAGTTTTAAAGGCAAGGATGTGGGGACCTGGCCCCTCATGCTCCCTGGGGAGGAGGTACAATGACACAGTGCTCTGGAAATGGCTGGTGGCCGGAGGCACAGAGGGGCTGTGCTGGGGATACTCAGGAAGGGTGGCCTGACTATGGGGGCTGGGCTGGGGAGGAGATATGAAAAAAATTATGATGAGCAATTAAATAAATTTATTATAATAAATGACCCCGATACAGGCAGCTCCCGAGAGCGAGAGGCTGAACCCGTGTCCGCGGCACTCACCAGCTCTGGCTGCGGTGCTGACTCCTCCCCAGAGTCAGGTCGCTGGTCAAAGGCAGACTTTTTAGTGATTCAGACACTGAAGCAGCGAGGACAGTGTATCTGCAGACAGAGGCCGCTAAGGGCAAAATCCGGGGTGCCCTGAAGCCTTATGTGCATGGAGGATGCCTGAGTGGCTGTACCCACGGCGGACTCAGGCCCCAAGGCAGGGCTGGCTGGAGGCTGCACTGTGGTGCCGAGTCCTCCCTTCCCTCTGTCCCCTGCCAGCCCTGGGGCTCTCCACCCTGCCTTCCTGCCTCGGGGCCAGCCCGCCAGGGACTCAGAACACGAAGTGCACCAAAGCTCTCCTCCTTTACCTGTGGCTGTTCGGTATTTCGTCCCACTGACAAGAAAAGTGACTTAAGACGCCCAGGAAAGAGGACTTCCAGAGCTGCTTCAGAAAGCAAGCAGCAAGAAGGGTGGGGCGGCGTGCTCAGGTTGAGAGGGAGTGTTCTGAGGGGAATTAGTGACCAAATGCCTTCGCTGTGATAAAAATGTTCCATTTAAACCCTCACCGTGCCATTTCATCATTCTCTAGGTGCTCAACAAGCACCACAGACTCACTGCTTGACCTGACGTCCCTCCTCGGCATGAGCTGCTGCCCAGGGAGCCCTGCCCTCTAGGCCTGTCCAGCCTCCCACGCTACCCCTCTGGGGCTCAGCCACTCCAGAGACCTGCAGGGCGGGAGCCGGTACTGGGTGCTGTGCTCCTCCCAGGCGGCCTCCTCAGGCTCTTGTCCAGGGCAGAGAACTGAACAGGAAATGGAGTCGCGTGTTTTTACATTTACGAAAGGCACTCAGGTAAGAGAAGGGAGAAGACGTGCTCTGAAGAGAAGCAGCAGGCCCTTGAGAAAGAAAGAAGCAAAGGGAGTGACCGCAAGCCAACACCACCATCCTCTGTCCCCGCGTCGGGAGGTCAGGTCCAGTCCATTCATCCAAAGCCTGCTTGGTCTTGTGCAGGAGGACTGCACTCTCTGAGTGACCCCAGTGCAGGACTTGGAGGCGGCCCTGTGTGTCCTGGTCTGTGACTGACAGGTCACCACTTGGCCAGCTGCTTTGCCTCACCCTAATCTACTGCCCCCTTCTCCCCGCCAGCTCATTGGAGGATTGTACACAGGAGAAGCCGTCTCACCTTTGGTTCCCAGGGACCAGCGTGTAACTGCAGGGGGAGGATGTTTAAAACATAATAGGAAAGCAGACTCAAAACCAACACAAGCACAGAAACTTTCTGACTTAAGTAAAAACAGACCTAATGAAAGAAATTCCTCCCATTTCTCATAATCATTAAATTAGGTTGCTTAGTAACCATCTTCCTTAAAATGGGACATTTATATAAAAACTAGTGTTTTCAGAAGAAGCGGTGGATTTCCAAGCCAGGTTTTATGACCTCATGCAACCCATGTCTTTTTTCCAGGCCGGATTCCAAAGCGGCTTGCCGGGGAGCATCTACAGGGAAGGCCGGCTGAGAGCTGGGTTGGCAACCGAGCAGGAAGGGCCCGGATCAGCAGGGCTGCCCAGCGGGGACGTGGAAAGCCAGAGAGATCTCGCGCTGGACGCTGTATTCACTTTCTTGGAAAGGAGCTCCTGTCACACAGCAACGACCTGGCAGCGGGAGGAGTGCTGTGGGGAAGGCAGGGGGGTTAAAGTCAAAACTTTAAAGCTTGAACGTACTGAGTGCGACCTAGTGGATGCAGTCACCTTTTAAAGGTTTTTCATTCCATGTGATTTGAGAATCCACTTTTTGTCATGTGCCGTAATTACATCATTGTCACTTAATATCTACCATTCTACAGCTGTGTGGTTAGGAGTTTTTACTAACCAACATCAGAAATGCGAGCGCCTTGGATCAAAGGCTGAGGCACTGGAGTAATGTTGCTTTTAAAGCATGCATATCAACTTTTTGGTACCTGAGGGCAGAAAGTCTGCCTCATTTTGTGATTTCTGGGTCACAGCTTCTTCCTGTGAGTGCGAGCAGAGGCAGACTGGAGGGAATCACTCATTTCCCAGGCTCTAGATCCGGAAGCACAAAAGTCAAGTGGGCCACTGTCACCGTGGTAATTAGCAGAATAGGCCATCTAATGTCACAATACCAGCAGGTGACGGCCACCTCTTGATTACTACACTAAGACACATGCAGCAGCTCCTGCTGCAGCTGGACCTCCTCCAAGTCTGCCTGGCCTTCTCCCTGGGCTGCAGGTGGCAGGACACCTCTGCAGAAGTCACTAACTCCAATTAGACCAGAAGGCCTGAGTTCATCAGTTAATAATTTGGAAATCTTTCAGCTTGAAGCCTCCAGTGACAAGGACAGATGTGTCACAGAAGCTGACTGTGGCTCTGAGTCCTCTATCCCCATGCCAGGGCCCTGTTGAGGCTGCTTCTCCTCCTGTGTCATCCCCACTGTGTGTGCATATTCATGTGAGAGAGTGTGTGTGTGAGAGTGTGTATGTGTGTATGCATGTGTGTGAGGTGAGCAACACACACGGAAGCCCCAGATCAGGGTCACCATAGGCAGTGGAGTTCAGGGTAACCCTCCCCAGGCCACTGGATATGAGTCCCCTCCATGGCCCAGTGACCCAGAGCCCACTGCAGGGCGGTCACATTGCCTACGAGAAAGAGCCAGCTTGTCTGGGAGCTGCCGCCACTCACACAGGTCACCAGGGCCCTTTGCCCCCGCTGGGTCACTGCAAGATAAACCCTGTCCCCCTGGGAGGGGTAAAGGAGCCATGGTTAGAGGGGGGTGGGCAGCCTGCACCAGCCTCTAGGTTCTGGATTGAAATAACTCAGATAAATCACAGGACTCCCCGTGGCTGTGGCAGGAAGGGCAGGGGTGTGAGAGGCTCGCTCAGGCTTGGTGTCTTCAGCTCACCTCTTCACAGCACATTTTGATTTCAGTGAAACAGCATCAGCTCTACTTCAATGCTCAGAACTTATGGGTCACTTAAATTGAGCTGCCGGCTCGTTCCCCGGTTGCCACTGGAACCCTGAGCTACAAACCGAGGCAGAGGCAGAATGAGGCCAGCCCTGTCCTCGGCAGCTCGCACCAGGGTGGGAGAAGCCACTGCAAGCGTCGTCCCACGGGAGACCTGGCCTGGGAACACTGTCTGAGGGGACGGGAGGGACACAGAGGCCGGAGCTATGGGAGCGGGGCCTGGGGCAGCAGGGGCAGGAGCTCAGGCTGGGGAGCAGCGGAACCCGGAGAGGGAGAGGACGGAAAAGGAGGCAGACTGACAAGGTCTGCGCTAACTGCTATGAAGGAAATGAACTGGAAACCGGACGTGCACATCACAGCCGCGGTGAGCGCTCACTCTGCGTGCCACGCTGGGCAGCAGGTCTCGGTTGGACTGCACTGGCCGCTGCCAAGAGTGGGGTCAAACAGACGCCTGGGTGCCGGCTTGATAAAATCGCTTTGTGGAATAATTCTGAGGTCACTGCCTAGGATCCAGCAACGTTGGTCCATTCACAGCTAGAACCAGAAGACAATTCAAGTTTTCTTTAGTAGAACAGTTACGTGA